CCCAGTGTGCTCCAGGTGCTGGGCCACCAGGGGGCGCTGCGGCACACCCATCCTTGGGACCCTGGGGTTTCTAGGTGATTCTGCAGTGGGTGGCTTTTAATGGGTATAAGAGGGTCTCCAAATCCCACAGAGTTCTCGCCTCACTGCCTGTTCAGCCCAAGGAGGTGCCTAGTCCCCTCAGGCCTTGTTTTTCCCATCTGCACAGTGGACTGTTAAAAGTTTTTCTTTTTCTTCTCGAGAGAGAGGTTGACCAGGTCACTCTGAGGTTTGTTCATGCCATGTACTCCACACACCAGCAGCAGGGGTGACCTCTCATGTGTGCTTGGACCTCCAAGTCCACGCAGCACCTCCATGGCCATTCTCCACCTTAGTCCTCATAACAGTTAGAGGTAGATGCAGACACTGAGGCTCAGAGAGGTGGCCTAGTCGAAGCTGAAGTCCCTGCCACACACTGACATTGATAATGTGGTGTCCAGTGTCAAACAGCAATCAACATCCAGGCTGCAGAGAACAAAGAGATTTATTTGCGGGTCATAGGAATTGCAACTCGGGAGACCCAGATTTGGGTAAAATGCAAAGAGTGTGCCAGGAATGAGAAAGTCAGGGGCTTGTAAATGCAAAAGCCACAAGGCTGTTAAAGGAAATATTTGTCCCTAAGGGATAGGCTGTCATGAGTTATTTTAGGGTAAGGGTCCAATAAATACCTTGAGTTTCTGGAACACTGGGCAGATGTTCTGGATGGCTGCATTAGGATGAGACGTGGTCAAAGTTCACATTCCCTCCAGGGAGAAGTGCATACGTCACATTTCCTCAGTGGCCTCCCAGCTCCATTTTAGAGCGTTCTCTTAGCAAAACCGACTCCATTTTGACTTTCCTTTTGCACCACCAGTACAAGCGGCCAGCACTTGGGGATTTTCCTCCCAGAAAGACTCCGCTGGCTGTGGAGCTGGGCCCGGCCCTGTGCCAGGTGCCGGGGGTCTGGGCAGGAGCTCTCCACAGTGAGCAGGGAAAGAGCTTGGGGAGGGCGGGGTCAGGGGGCTTCCGAGGGACAAGGACTAGGATGCCGAGGCGGCAGAGGGAGCCACCTGTGCAAAGCTGAGGTGGCCTGAAGTAACACGGGATGTAGATTTCCATGGGGCCCAAAGGAGGCAGAGTTAAGGGGTACAGCTGAGAGCCCCTCACAGGGCTTTGAATGCTGGCCAGGAGCTGGTGTCCGTGACAATGAGGCTTTTCAGCTGTAGGCACGTGAGAGGAGGAGCCCCTTGGACCAATCCTTTCACCTCAACAAGCCAGCTCGGTGCTTAATCTTGTTTCCTCTGCAGCCCTCCTCTCCCCCTGCAGCTTATTGTTTCATCTGTAAATATCTCTGATGCATCGCTGAATGATAAGGACTCATTCAAAACGAAACAAAACAAGAAACCCCTAACCATAATACCATAACACAACTAATTCCACAGTTAATTCCTTAATATCAAACACTCAGAAGACGTTCTGGTTTCCAATTTGTGTCATAAATGTTTTACGTGTCTGTTTTACAGTTTGCTTGTTTGAATCAGATCCAAACAAAGGTCCATAACTGCAGTCGGTTGGTTTCCCTTCATGGTCTCACTTTTTGTTTGCCTTTTCCTGAAGAAAGCGATCATTTGTCCTGTAGAGTTTCCAGCTGTCTGGATTTTGCAGGCCCTGTTTTCAGGGTGTTGTTGAACATGTCTGTGCCCTGCTTTCCTGTGAGGTAGGACTTAGCTCTGGAGGCTTGGTAAGTTTTGCTTTGTTTTTTTTGTTTTTTTTTTTTGGCACGACTACTTCGTAGGCGATGTTTTCTCTGGAGGTACATAATGTCTGGTTGTCTCTCTTTTTGTGTGACTTAGAAGCCATCAATGATCCTAAATCCACATTAGAAGCCATGATTGCCTAAATCCATTCTTTGTCAGCGGTTGCAAAAGTGCAGGGGTCTAGTATTCTAAGGTCTTCCTCATTTCTTAGCTGGAATTCATCACCAGATAAAAACCTCCTTTGATCTGCTGTAGGTTACACTATGGTACAGTTTGTATAGAAAAGTCATGTTAAGTCCTTAATTTTTTTTCTCCTCAATTTTCCAGTTTCAAAAAAAAAATGAGTTGCTTCCCTGCCCTCCTCCAGTTGTGACGAGTCATTGTGTGTCAGCTTGATCTCATGGATTTGAACACATTGATGTGTTGTCATCCATGCCATGTCACCCATGGCATCCTTACTGCTGCTCAGATTGGCTCATCTTTGGCTAGTGGGAACTTCTTTAGGTTGGTCCTGAATCCTTTGGCTGTTTCCTTGATTTCTAGTGCAGGCAGGTGTTGAGTTTGGGTGGCCCTGGGAGCAGGACTTCCTGGGCGATCTCCTTCTGTGCTCAGGACCAGGCTGGCAGCAGAGGTGGCCGAGGGATGAGAAGGCTGGTCTGGGACCCAAAGGTTGTGATGTGGAGGAAAACGGAGGCCCACGGGATCCCTGACTTTGGATCACAGGCCCTGGAGCCTCATCAGCTGCCCCTTGAGCCACAGAGGGTTCAGAGCCAAGCCGTAGGTTTGGCTAATAATCCTCTCTCATCTCCAGTGGTTCCTTCCAGCCCCTGTGAGAGCCCCTCCCCTCCCCTCGTCCCTGTCCCCCATCCCCACATAGTCCAGGGCTGTCAGAGCAAGGGGTGGTGGAGGAGGGTGCGATGGTCAGGTCAGTGCTCTCAGCCTCGGGCTCCCCGTCACTCTGTGCCCTTGGGCGGCTCCTTGCTCCTCTCTGGACCTCAGCCTTCTTCCTGTCTGCACAGTGGGGTGACATCCACCCCTGCCCCAAGCGTGCCTCAATTTTGATCCATTTTTATGTCCTGAAACCAAATGTGAAGAGGCATGTCAGGCGTCTGGGCAGAGGCTGGCCTGGGAGTTTTCACTTGGAAAGGACGTGAGTTAACTGAAAAGGGACCAGCTAGTACAGAGCCCTTGTTAGGTTCCAGATGCTGTGTCAGGCTCTGAAGACCTGAGTGTCAATCCTGCCAGTTACTCCCTGCTGTTCCGCCGCAGAAGTAGTGGTAACACTGAGCAGGGCTCCATCAGTGGCTGGGGAGCCTCTCACCACATTTAGCATTTTCATTTTCTTGGTTTTGAATGTCCCACTAGGGAGCATTTCTCTTTGTTAACATCCCTGTTGATAGTAAGAGGTGTGTAAACCAAAGCACCTTTAATGAGAGTGGGGGCTGAGGAAAGGCTTTTGGCTGAAGTCTCCGTGCTCAGGCTGGTCTGGGCCTTGGGATTTATAGCATCCTCATACATCTCTGGCTCCTCAGCCTGGATGCGTGCGTGCCCGCCCCCATCCCGGGGAGTGAATTTCTTCTAGATGGAGCTGCTTCTGGTCTTGATGGGGTTTGGCCCCTCTGGGTCTGGTGCTCAGGAGATTTTTTCCCTCCCTTCCCACCTTCTGCCCCAAATTGTCTCTGTTTGTCCTCGTCTGCTTGGGAGATGCCCACTGCCAGCTCTCAGGACACCTGCTCAGGAACTGCTGCTGGCCCTCCCGGGTCGGGCCCACCACTCCCTTCTCTCTACAGCTTCACACACACACCCCACGTCCGACATAACACTTGTCTGCCTGCCTGCCTCTCCCACCAGACTGGGAGTCTCCTGAGGACAGGGACCATGTCTGATTCATCTGGGTCCTCAGTGCTAGCATGAGGCTGGGTGCAGAGCCGTCCACACTGAAAAAGAACTCATTATTGGGAGGCAGGCAGACCTGGGTTTGAATTCTGCTTCACATCTAGGTCTGCCTGCCTCTAAAGAATGTGTGTATTTTCTAGCTGTGTCACCCAGAACAAGTTACTTGCCCTCTCTGAGCCTCATTTTTCTCATCTGTACAGTAAGGATGAGACTTACCATCCCGTCTCATGGATTTAACACCCCATGAGATAGGGTTGTTGTGTGAATTAAACTGAGATGACCCATGGCAGTCACAGCCTTGATACTTGACATTTCCAAGATGCTCCATAAATAATCAATATTATTAAGAATCCCAATCAGTGCCTATGAATTTATTCATTCAGTTAACACATGTTTATTAAGGACCCTCTCTGGGCCAGGCCCTGGGGTAGCCGCTGGGTGGATGGCAGTGACCAAGACTGACATGTCTCTGCTCTGAGAGAGCTGACATTCCAGTGACAGTATCAGATTGAATACGTCACACATTTATGTAATTATAAGTAAGGAAGGTGTCTCAGAGAAGTTCCAAGGGCTGTGAGATGAATGGAAGAGTCAAAAAAGGCTTCCTGGAAGAGGAGAGTAGACTCTAAAGGGCAAGGGAGAGTCAGCTGGAGAAAGAGCAGGTGTGGAGTTCCTGATCAGAGAAAAAGCCCAGAGCAGGAAGCAGAGAGCAGGGGGTGGGAGCTGGGGTGGGCAAGGGTAGAGAAATGAGCATGGGGAGGTGGTAGTGAGGACAGAGCACATAAAGTGTTTGGATCCTTATTTTTCAGGGGAGTGACATGATCAGAAAGATCACCCTGCTGCTGTGTGAGACAAGGGCAGAGTGTCTGCTAATGCTGTTACAGGGCGAGGAGATGAGGGACTGGGCCAGAGTGGATGGAGAGGAGGAGATGGATTTTAGCAGAACGAAGGAGCTCAGATTGGATGGAGATAGGGAAAAGGGAGGAGGCCAGCGTGGCTGCCAACTTCTGGCTTGGACAGGACAGGGCAGATGGTAACACTATAGACCAGGCAGGAACTGGGTTGAACATAATCTATTTCTGAGGGAGAGAATGCAAATGGAGGCATGAAGAAGGAAGGGGTAGGCTGATAGAATCTTAGACAACAGAGCTGGAAGGAGCTTCAGGGTGTCTCCAACTGCTGCCGAGATGGGGAAACTGAGGCTCAGAATGAGAAGGGTTCGCCCAGGTCACACACTGGTTCGTGGCAGAGATGGGAATTGAACCCAGTATTCCTTCCCATTTGATTCCCTGGCGGCACCCCTCAAGGTGTCCCCATCCCCTCCCCATCCAGGTCATCCCAGACTGGAAGGAGCAGGAGTGGGACCCCGAGAAGCCCAACGCCTACGCGGGCATCTTCCACTTCCACTTCTGGCGCTTCGGGGAGTGGGTGGATGTGGTCATCGATGACCGGCTGCCCACCGTCAACAACCAGCTTATCTACTGCCACTCCAGCTCCCGCAATGAGTTCTGGTGTGCCCTGGTGGAGAAAGCCTATGCCAAGTAGGTGCTGGCGGTGGGCGGGCGGGTGGCCGGGCGGGCAGCTAGGCCTGGGCAGCACTGCTGATGGGCTCCGTGCGGGTGTTCATCGAGCCAGGACTCAGGCACAGAGAGGTGGGCATTGGTGCAAACACACACAGTGAGCTCAGAGCCTCAGGCACCTGCATCAGTTTCCTCCCCACAACCAGCCACATAGAGGGGAATAGTTACTTCTGCTTCTACCTGCAAAGATGGAGGCCCAGGCAGGTGTCCTGCAGGCACCGGGGGCAGAGCCAGCACCCGCATTCAGGCCAACAGTTCTTTCCCAAAGACCCAAGCTGCCGAGCCCTCCCAGAGGCCTTGTTGGGGATGTGGTATCTCCAAGCCTGGCCAGATGAGGAGGTTGGGCCAGACCACTGCCTTCCCTGCTCACTGGACCTCCCCCTTGTCCACCCATCAGTCTGTCCACCTGACTGTCTAGCCCTCCTGACTTTGCTGCCCCTCCTCCTGCTCTGTGCCAGGCTCTGGGTCCCCAGCACAGGCATGAACAAAAGTTTGCTGAGCTGTGGAGGGCTTCAGGGCACAGTGACCTGCCCAGGCCCACGCAGGACAGGTGCAGACTTGGGGCAGGAAGGCCCGTGGGGTCAGAGACCAGCCTGCCAGCTCTGTGGGAGCCTCTCCCTGCTTCCTCCTCCCAGGCCCATTTGGCACTCTCCTTGAACAATGTGTGTGTGTGTGTGTGTGTGTGTGTGTGTGTTTGTAAGGAAAAGGAGAAACAAAAACTACCATCATCAAAAACAAACCTCAGAAAATCACATTGGCCGATTGCCTTTGTAATCCTAAGACGGCAAAACCCAGCCCCTTGTGGTCACTTGGTTACCATGGTCCTTGGTGCAGGCGCCTCTCCTCCCACCTCCGGGAGACCCGGCCCGTCACTCAGTGGGCTTGCCCATTTGTCAATTTGTTTGTTTGTTTTTTTAATAACAGTTTTATTATTTTTAAAAAATTGTCTAAAATATAATATTTATCATTTTGACCATAGCTAAACAAATGGTTCAGCTACATTCACAATGCTGTGTACCCATCACTGCTATCTATACCCAATTCTTTTCATCATCCCCTTCGTAAGCTCTATACCCACTCAACAGTAACTCCCCATTTGTCCCTTTTCCCAGCTCTGGGACATCCTCTTTGCTTTTTGTCTCTGAATTTGTCTATTCCAGTAGCTCATGTAAGTGGAATCCTTGTCCTGTGTCCACCTTTTTTCAATTAGCATAATGTGTTCAAGGTCCATCCACTGTGGAGCCTGTCTCAAAATTCCATTCCTCTTTATGACTGAATAGTATTCTGTTGTGTGTGTGCTGCATTTTGTTTATTCATTCATCTGTCTGGTGGGCACTTGGGTTGTTTCCACTTGTTTGCTATTACAAATCATGCTCCTCTGAACATCCGTGTACAAATACCTGGTCAAGTATCTGCTTTCAGTTCTTTGGACTAGATACCCAGGAGTGAATTGTTGGGTCATATGGTAGTTCTGTGTTTACATTTTTGAGTAATCACCAAACTGTTTTCCACAGGGGCTGCATCATTTATGCTTGCTGGTTTTTTAATTTATTTACATTTTAAATTATAAAATGAATGCCTGTCTATTATAGCAAATCCAGAAAATAAAGAAACTGTGCAGAGGGTAATAAAACTCTCCCATACTCCTGCGTATTCTCCCAGGCCACTGCTCTCCCCATCCCTGTTCTGGGCCATCTGAGTTGATGGGGCAACTCATCAGGACCTGCATGACAGTGTCGCCTCAAAGCCCTGCCCTCTCTCTGTGTCTCCAGCTCTTCCCCCAGCTCCTCCCCCACCACTGGCCCCTCTTTTAACATCTTTGATGCCTCTTTTGTTTGTACCTTATAAGACCTGTGCTGCTGTTCTGTGGGCATGTTTCCAATTTACATAAATGATATATTGTTATACATCCCATTCCACTTCTCACAATCACACTCAGCACTCTGCCTTTAAGACCCCAACCCTTCTCCTAACATTTAAATAAGGAGCCACAGCTTTGTCCCTAGCACCTGATATGTTGCACATAGTAGCTGCTTAACCTTTTTGAAATGGATTATTGTATACATTTTAAGCATGATTGGAATCCAGCTGTATGGCTTTTGCAAAAGTAATTAAACCAGCACTAGCGTTTTCCCTGCAGTAGGAATTCTTTTACAGTGTTTCTTTCATTGGCTGCTTAATGTTCCAGAGTTGAGATGCAACATTAGCTTTTAATACGAATTCCCAGTTGTTCGACATTTAGGTGATTTCTAGTTTTACGTTGTTATAAATAGTGTTACTCATCCAGAATTGATGTGACAAAGGACATGAGCTTTTAACCGTTTTGGAAAGAATTGTTAGATTTCTGGACAGCTAATATTTGAAAATGGGGCTGTGAAGGCTAAGGGGAATTTGAGTGACAAACTGGGATGGTTCAGTGGGACAAATATTGGCCTGGGAGCTGGAGACCTGGGCTCTAGTGTTGGCTCTGTTGTGTGGCCTGCTGTGTGACCTCAGCAGTTCACTTGACCTCTCTGAGTCTCAGAAATCTCCCCTGTAAGGTGAAGGATTTAGATTGGCTGGGAAGTGTGAGCTGGGAATCCTTTCTACATTGCTTCCAGGCTGGCCGGTTGTTACCAGGCCCTGGACGGAGGCAACACAGCGGATGCGCTGGTGGACTTCACAGGTGGCGTTTCTGAGCCCATCGACCTGACCGAGGGTGACTTTGCCAATGACGAGGCCAAGAGGAACCAGCTCTTTGAGCGCGTGTTGAAGGTGCACAGCCGGGGAGGCCTCATCAGTGCCTCAATCAAGGTGAGAACCCTGAGCCAGGCCCCAGGGCCGGCCCCTCCCCTTCATCGACCCTGATTGAGGTGGGGGGTGACTATGGCTTCCCAGGTGGAGCCCCTGCCCAGGGTTGGCTCATAAATCCAGACCTTCAGCTTCATGGTTGGAGGGGAGCAGTTAGAGGGTCCAACCCCCTCCCGAGTGCTGGACAGCACAAGCCTCGGGCCCCCTGCCCTAACCCCACACTATGGAAGGCCTCGCCCACACTCTTCAACTAGTGTTCCCCTTTTCCAGCCCTCTCTTATTTGGGTGATGAGTGTCTATGCATCCGAGTGTCCCTCAGTCAAGGTCGGAGGCATTACTAGCTACGAGGCAACCGGAAGAGAGGAAGGAGCCCCTACTGTTCACAGGCACAGGCCTGGGTCCTTCAAGAGGGTAGTCTTATTTCATTGCTCATGCTTTGGGTAGGAAAGTGAAGGCAGAATTTGAACCTAGGTTTGGCTGATGTAGTGGTTTGTTGATAAAATGACTCTGGAAAACTAAAAAGCCCCAATTTGCTTATTTCTGTGGTGTAACCTACGTGGTGTAGCCATCTACCATGGTTGATTTCAAGCTAACATTTTAACAACCAGATTGCACAACTGAGCCAGTGCTAGTAGTAGCTAGTAGACTGCAGCGCACCCCTGTGCTGACCCCACTGTAGTCCCTTCCTTTACCCTACACTGCGGCTTCCCTTAGACTTTGTAAAGAGCTCTGAACAAGGAGCTCAGGCCCTAACCATAGAGGAAAGAGGTCTCCCCTTTGTGTGGGGCGCCATTCCCTCCTCATCCTGTAGGGGGCGGTGTGGCTCCCCATCTCCAGCTAGAGCCTGACAGCCCATGCCCCTGAGCAACTGTGTCTTCCTGCAGGCAGTGACCGCAGCAGACATGGAGGCCCGGCTGGCGTGCGGCCTGGTGAAGGGCCATGCGTACGCCATCACTGATGTGCGCAAGGTGCGCCTGGGCCACGGCCTGCTGGCCTTCTTCAAGTCAGAGAAGCTGGACATGATCCGCCTGCGCAACCCCTGGGGCGAGCGGGAGTGGAACGGGCCCTGGAGTGACACGTGAGGCCTGGGGCAGGGGGTGCAGGCCTGGGGCAGACCCCAGGTGGGTGGACTGGGGGTATGATGGCTTGGGCAAGGACAGGGCAGGCTTCCTGGAAGAGGTGGCACTGCAGCTGGGCCTTGAAGGGTTTGAGGGGAGGATGACATTAGGAGGAGATTTGGGAGCAGGCATGTGGGGATGGACCCAGCAGAGGCAGAGGTCTGGAGGTGCAGACAGTCTGGTGAATAAGTGGGGAGGAACGCAGGGAGGGAGGCCACCAGGGGTCAGAGTGGGAGTGACTGCCCTGTGCTCGGCTCATGGTCCTGGTGAGGCCAGGAGAGTTGCAGAGCCCAGGACCCCAGTGAAGGCACCCCCTCCATTGAGGGTCACTCTTCCCTTGCCCCTCAAGCTGCAGCTTTGCTGCCAGACTTCTGGGTCCCTGGCAGGGTGGCAGCCCACGGTTTCCTGCTAGAGTAGACAGACAGGGCTTCTTGGAGAGGGGCTGGGCACGGCCCTGGGTGCCCCAACCACACCCACCCTGACAGAGGCCTGGTGCCGAGCTGTCCCTCGTGCCTCCTCTCCCTTGCCAGGGTGGCCCTGGTGGGGGCCCTCCTCTCATACTGTTCCCTCCTCCCTCCCTTGTGCTCACATCCCAGCTCAGAGGAGTGGCAGAAAGTGAGCAAGAGTGAGCGGGAGAAGATGGGCGTGACGGTGCAGGATGACGGCGAGTTCTGGTGAGTGTGCTCCTGCCCCGGGTGGGTGTCCAGGCCTGAGGGGGGAGCCGCCTGTGTGCTGGGCAAGAAGCACTGCACAGGGCTCTAGGAAATGCCCCACCGTCAACTTGCCACGTGGCCTTGGATACGTCACGGCATCTCTCTGGGCCTGTTTCCCCCCCTGTAAAGGGAATTGGGCAGAATTCGTCCCCATAGTCCCCACTGCCCACCTGAGGGGACCCTGGGCTGCTCTGGCCCCCAGGCTGAGCCCTTGGCAAGTAGGCCAGGGTACCAGCAGGTGGGGCATTGACTAGAGGGCACACTGGTGGCCTGATCCCGAGAGCAAGTAGGGAAGAGGAGGGGCCTCACGGAAGAGCTACCTCCTAAGCTGAGAGTCTGGGTGCAAAGGGCCTCTTGGGGGTCAAGGACAGAGACCCAGCCCAGAGGCAAGAGAGAACAATTGGGTTTGTGAAGAGTGAGTTCAGGGAGGTGAGGGGCGCTTAGTGGGTTCGTTGTGGAGGCTAGGCCGGGAAGGTGGCAGCAGCCTTGCTTAAAGAGCATGATTGTGATTCCTGCATTCATTCACTCCCACACTTAGTCCTGACTGCGTGCCAGGCTCAGTGTCTTTCTTCAGCAGGACACTTGAATCGGAGGTTCAGCCACTTCCTGGAGTGGCGGTGGTATAGGGCACCCTGTGTGCAGTGGAGGCCATGGGGGCTCCAGGCAGACCCAGAGGCAGACGGTGGGGATCTCGGCACCCCAGTGAGGTCCCCTTCTGCAGCAGCTCCCCTGACAGCTGGGCTCTGGTCTGGGCTCCTGTGGACAAGATCCACTTGGCTAAGTCTGGTTCAGGGCACAGCAATAGAAAACCTTCATCAGGAAAGGGCTTCTTCTTAAGGCCTTTTTCATGTGTCCACTCTTGACGCACGTACGTGCGCGTTCTCATACGTGTGCACACTAGTGGTGGGGCAGGCACGTCCCCTCCCCTGATGCAGGCTCCTGGAGGCGTGGCAGCATCCTGGCCACTGCAGTTTGCTTCCCAAGGGGTTCTTACCACCAGTTTATTCAGGTCTCACAACAGCCATGGATGATAATGGATGGAAGCATGCTTTATAAACTGTAGAGGGCTGTACACATTAGTTATGCATACTATTAATAATTGTAACAGCCAGCCTTTGACAACTCCTGTCTTCTGAAAGTGGTAATACGTGCTTTTATTGCATTACTTCATTCCTGTGCTAACTCTGCGAGACAGGCAGCTGCTGTTAGATTCATTCCCATTTTACAGATCAGGAGACTGAAGGTCCGTGTGATGTCATGTCCACACTGGCTACTGTGTCGGCTGTGGTTCAGAGGCCCTGGGGCCAGTGGGAAGGTGGGCTGGAGTCAGGGGGACCGGTGGCTCAGCTCTTTGCCATGCCCAGGATGACCTTCGAGGACATGTGCCGATACTTCACCGACATCATCAAGTGCCGCCTGATCAACACGTCTTACCTGAGCATCCACAAGACGTGGGAGGAGGCCCGGCTGCGCGGCACCTGGACGCAGCATGAGGACCCGCTGCAAAACCGCAGTGGGGGCTGCATCAACCACAAGGACACCTTCTTCCAGAACCCACAGGTGGGTGTCTTCAGGGACCCCTGCCCTGCCCCTGGAGCAGCTGCGGGTCCCTTGTCACTGTCCTGCCACAGACTCCTGAGTGGCATTGGGTACATCCGTGTCTGTCCGTGGGCCTTGGTGCACCCATTTGTACAGTGGGGTACCCGTGGGGCATGTCTGGGTGGTCATGTAGCCCCAGCCTCACAATCTGACCTGCACGTGGTTGAGATGAGGACACTGGGGCTCTCAGGACTGCTGAGTATCCTGTCCAGAGTTAAGGGACATTTATTTAGAGGCTGAGCCGGGGGCTCAAACCCATATTTCCACATACAGGGCTGCTCCTTCTGGGGGAACTTGGCCAGGCTGGGTCCCCGCAGGACCCCCCCGCCCCAGCCTCCTCAGTCGTGGCCCTGAGAGCTGCTTAGGCCTCATGCCTGGTATGCCTTCATTGAGGGCCAGCTGCATGCAGGCTTGGAGCTGAGCATCTTTCAGCTCCCAGAGTCCTCCCACCTCATGTGCAGGGTGGGCATTGTTGGCTTACCTCACAGATGAGGAACTGAGGCTCAAGAGGTGATGTGACTTGCCCAAGCTCACACAGCTGAGCTGGGCCTGGCTCTGGGCTGAGCTTCGGGGAATCAGTGAGCCTACCTTTGGAGTGATCTCACTGCCTCATCCCTCTTCCTTTGCTGTACCTGCAGTATATCTTTGATGTCAAGAAGCCAGAAGATGAAGTGCTGATTTGCATCCAGCAGCGGCCGAAACAGTCCACCCGCCGGGATGGCAAAGGTGAAAACCTGGCCATTGGCTTTGACATCTACAAGGTGAGGCCAGCTGGGACCTCAGCTCTGGGTGAGGAGAGTCTGGGCTGCCTGGGCCTGGAGAGAACATTAGAGATTACTTGGGCCTCTGGCGTCACCCCTGCCACCCTGACCACGTTTGCTGATGCCATGGGCGTACCATGACATGGGCCTTGTTTGGATCCCACCAAGGCCCAGCCTGCCTTGGGTTGGCTCCACAGGGGCTCTCAGCCTGATTTCTCGCTGCCCCAGACCTACAGGCTGTTTGAATGGGGCATGGGAGCCCCCCCGCTGCTCCCTTCCTCAGGGCTCTAACCCCCTGAGTTGGAGGCCTTGCTGCGCACTGGGAGGAGGCATCGTGGGCAGAGCCAGGCAGCCCACCCACTGGCCTGGGCGCCGAGCTCTCCCGCATGCTGTGATGTCCCGTGTGTGATGACTGTCAGCGTAGTGGGCCACCATGGGCTCGTTAGACAGAAAGACTGTAACGAAGCCATGTGCATGTGCTAGGCCCTCAGTCTGAGGCGAGACTCTGGCATTTGCCGTCCTGGGTCATGTTGTGACAGTTTGTTCATGTTGGTATGTTGGGACAGTTGTGTGCTGACATGTTGTGACTTGGTCATGACATGACCTTCACTGATGTGACTGTAGCTTATCATGGCGGTTGTCCCAGGAATTGTGTAGCATGTCCTGGTAGCTGGTGATGTCATTTCAGGGACACAGGCTGTGACTTGGGCAGAGAGTGATATTTAGCTATGTTGTGATGTCAGAAACTCCCTGGACATTGTTACCAGGGGGATTCCCATTGCCACCCACCTCCTACCGGCTTTATGAGAGAGAATTCACACAACATATGATTCATTCATTTAAAGTGTTTTTGTAGAGTTGCGCAGCCATCACCACAATTTCAGGACATCTTCATCATCCTAAAAAGACCCCCACACCCTTTAGCCATCACCACTGGATCACATCCCCCTCTCTCCCCGCCAGCCCTGGGCAGACCCTCCTCTACTTCTGTCTCTGTAGATTTGCCTGTTGTGTGTGGCAAGGGGGAGATGTGGAGTGGGGTGTGGGGTGGAGTCGGGGCTCTGTGTGACCCACGCCTCCACCCCGGCAGGTGGAGGAGAATCGCCAGTACCGCATGCACAGCCTACAGCACCGAGCTGCCAGCTCCATCTACATCAACTCCCGCAGTGTCTTCCTGCGTACAGAGCAGCCCGAGGGCCGCTACGTCATCATCCCCACCACCTTCGAGCCGGGTCACACTGGCGAGTTCCTGCTCAGAGTCTTCACTGACGTGCCCTCCAACTGTCGGTGCGTGGGGGCTGGCTGGGGGCCAGGGTTGCAGGGTCCGGGTCCACACCAGTCTGACCTGCAGTCTGCAGCCCAGAGATACTCAGTGTCCGCCCGAGGCATGGAGCCCGGGCCTCCAGCCTCCTGGGCTGACACCAGTGCCCATCTCCCTCCTCTCTCCTCCTCTGCTCCCTATCCTAGCCTCTCTCCACCACATGCAGGAACAGCTGCTTACATGTGCAGAGCACTTCACAGTTTATGGAGAAGCTTTCCCTCATCTCATTTGCTCTCCCTGAACCCTGAGTAGGAGGCCTGATTCCTCCATTTTACAGATCAGAATTGGGGACCGAGGTCGGGGGTGTTTTCTGAGGTCAGGTAACCAGTGGTGGAGTTGGGCTAGGCAGACTGCTGAAACCACCCCCGTCCCTGCTGCAGTGTAGACCTGTGGGTCCCATGTTGCCCTTGCCGCCCAGATTTGGTGCTCCCTGCCCACATCCTAGACTGGGGAGGCAGCTTGTGGAATCAGAGGACCTTGGTCCTACCAGTCTGCGCTCCCTGGCTCTCTGGCTGTGTGGACAAGCCCCTTACCCTGGTGAGCTTTATGCTTCCTAATCTGTGAAATGGGCATAATGATAGTCACCAACTCCAAGGGCTTTGTGAGGGTTAGAAATAACATCTGTAACATCCCAGCAGGGGGCTTGGCACGCAGCAGTAAACTGCTTTCCTCTTGTGGGGGAGTGGACAGCCTTGGGTAGGGATGGAGCAGCAGGGACTCATGGGGGTTGATTTGCCCAAGATGAGATGTCTGGAACGAACATTGCTCCTCCCCCTGCCCCACCCATCTTGAATCCCCTCACCTTCCACTTTCCTGGCTCCTCTCCATCACTTCCCCCCTCTTCTCCTCTGCCCTGCACCAGGGAGCTGTGCCTGGACGAGCCTCCCCGCTCCTGCTGGAGCTCCCTGTGCGGCTACCCCCAGCAGGTGACCCAGGTGCATGTCCTGGGAGCCGCTGGTCTCAAGGACTCCGCGACAGGTGAGCTTGCCTCGAGAAAGCCCCCAGGCCTCCTCTTACTCCCCAGCCACAGACACAACCCCCAAAGCTCTCCTGCTCTCCCTCACTGAATGAACAGACCTATCCTGATGTCCACTCCCGGCCCAGGCCTGGGTTGAAGCTGGAAGCGTGAAGAGGAACAGGCCTCCTGCCCTCGATGGCTTCTAGTGTGGGTGGCAGTCAGACACAGGGCCAGGCAGCTGGGAGGCAGGGCTCAGGGAAGGCTTCTTGTGGGGAGGTCTTTCCCCAGACTGAGGAGGTATTAAGGTATGAAGCCTAGTGAAGGGAAGTAAGGAAGAAAGGGGGCAGGGGGAGCAGCATGAGTAGGGGGAATAGCATGGGTAAAGGTCTGGAGGCCAGAGACCAGTGTGCCCCCCACCACCCCGGTCTCTGGAAGTTAGGAAGCTGGTCGGGCTCTCGTCTCCCTCCTGAATACTTGAGCCCAGCTTCTGCTCTGGAGAGGGGGTCTCACCTCCCAGATAACTGTCTCATGCGGGCCCTGCTGCAGCCCCCACCCTCACCCCACTGCCCACTCTGGCTGTCTAGGGGCCAACTCTTACGTGATCATCAAGTGTGAAGGGAACAAAGTCCGCTCGGCTGTGCAGAAAGGCACTTCCATGCCTGAGTACGACGTGAAGGGCGTCTTCTACCGTAAGAAGCCCAGCCAGCCCGTCGTTGTGCAGGTGAGTCCGCCTGTCCAGGGGTCCCTCCGGGCCCTGGGCTGATGCTTTTCCCCTCAGAGTGGCTGGGCCCAGCATGGCGGGGCCTTTGACTCGGACCCACTCTGTCCCTGACGAGGTGTGGCCTTGGGGATTCTCCTGCCTGCCCCTTCTGGCGCCTCGGAGTCCCCTCTGTGGGGCGGGTGAGTTGGATTCGCTGGTGAGATTCTGGGACACAGCAGGGTCAGTCTCCTGGCCAGGGACAGTGATCCTCTCTGCCAACCCGGCTCCAAAACCTTGGGAGTTGATCCTTCAATTCCCCTGTAGGTGGGGCCGCCTGAAAAAGTTGTACTGTCGTGGTGGCCCGTGGGGGTGGCTGTTGCCAGAGAGCAGGGGGTCAGAAAGCCAGGGGCCTGGCCGTAGGCTTCCTTCCCCTCTCAGGCCAGGGTGGCCACAATTCTGAGCTCATTAGCAGGAAGCCCTCAGTCCCCTGGGCCCAGGCCAGCATCTCTCCAGGTGAGAAGCCATCTGTAAACAGACGTTCGGGTGCCCTGGGGGAACAACTGTAGGGTTTCCAAGCTTTCCTAACACTGGGTCCCAGTGGATCAAATCACAGACCCAGTGATGTTTGGGGCTACAGGGACCCTTAGGGGCCACTGAGCTAACCCTCATGTTAAATTAAAGATGGGGAAACTGGGACGGGGGTGTATTGCATCCAAGGTCACCCAAGGTCAACAGCAGAGCCAGTAATGAGAGACTTAACTGTATATGGGGAAGGGAGCTTTGACAGATGGGAGGAAGCCTGAGGCTCTGGAAGGGGCACAGCCTTGCCCAGCATCCATGGTGAGGCAGAGGTGATGCAGGGCTCCTCTTCCTCCACCTGGCTTGTGCAGCAGGAAGGAGATTCAGCCCTGCCACCACTGCCAGCACCCCCACACACCTGTACTCCTGGGCTTAGAGGTGGCCCCCAACGATCCTTGGTCTCCCCCCAGATCTGGAACCACCGAGTCCTGAAGGACGAATTCCTGGGCCAGGTGCACCTGAAGGCTGACCCAGATGACCTCCAGGCCCTGCACACCCTCCACCTCCGAGACCGCAGCAGCCAGCAGCCCAGCGACCTGCCGGGCACCGTGGCTGTTCGCATCCTCAGCAGTGCCTCCCTCACGGCTGTCTGATACCTGCCCCTCTCCCTGCCCACAGTTCTCGCCTCCATTTGCACGTCCCCAACCAGGCCAGGGACTAGCCTGGGAGCCCAGACACTAGGGTCCTTTTCCCAGCTTTTCCACTGACTTGCTGTGCGACCTTGGGAGGTCTCTGCCCTTCTTTGGTGTCCTGAGGACCCCAAAGCATTCCCTTCTCATGGAGGAGTCTTCTTGCCTAAGGTTGAAAATAGCCCTGCCTACCCCAGCTGCCACCACGGCTAAGGGACTCTATCCGTTGAAAACATTTTCTCAAGGCCCTGCTATCTGCCATCGGAGTGCCAAGAAGATGTCACTTGTTTACACACAAACTGCCACACCCAAAAGGCCCACTCTTGCCCCTCATGCCCTGGGCCTGCCCTGCTGCCCCAGGCTTGCTTTCTCTGTCACTTCCATCTGGTTTTCTAGCCACCTTGACAGGACTCGGCTCTTGGGATCCTGCTCAGGCTGGAATTTGGGAAATGTGCAGGTAACATCTGTCTGTTCTCTAGTCCCGTCATTTATTTATTCAGAGGAGATTTGCCAAATGAGTAAACGATGCTCGCGAGACTCCAGATGGAGCTGGGCCCCTCCCTGCAGCTCTGGGAGACCTGGTGTCCGTCCTGGGCCTCGCCTTTGCCCTCAGGTCCTCTCAGAGGCAGACGCCCAGAGGAGCTGCAGCCTCCTTCTCTGCCCAGGTTCTCATTTCATTCCCATCCTCTGGTTTAGGGTCCCTGGAGAGTTGGTGGCAGTGGTGGTGAGGAAGGGTGGCAGCCTGCCTGCACTGCCCTGATGGGGGAAGGAGTGCGTCTGGTGTAGTGGGCCAGCCCGGTGCAGGGCAGGGTGGGGACCCGAGGGGAGGCACATAACCCCCAGGGCCCCCTCTGCTGCAAGACCTGGGCTTTTTCTGGGAGAAGGGACTCTTGGGTGGTGGTCTCAGGCCTGCCAGAGGCAGGTCACACATTGGACTTGGCGAGAGATGGGTAAATCCATTGACTGACCAGAGGCCTCTCCCCCAACATTCCCCTCAAAACGCAGCCAAGGAGGCTACATCCCTCTTGCTGTCTGGACCAAAATGCTCCTTTTAGTCCTCAACGTTTTATATTCTTTCTGTTTTAACTCTCAATTTTAACCAGGGGTTTTTAAAGGAAACTGAAAGCCTGAACCCTTTTTTCTTCTTAAACTCCAGTTGCTGTGATCCTCTGATTTTATTTTGATTCTGCTTGGGGAGGGGCGTGGGCAAGATCATACCTTCTCAGAGGAGGTCTGGAGGTGGGGGAAGAGTGGGTTGTGTACTGGGTTGTTTTGCTGGCACTGACTGTGTTCTTGGACAGCGTTGGTGCTGTGACCAGATTTGGGTCTCTTCTGTGCCCTTCCAGGGTGCCAGACCAGGTGACGTAAATGAAAAAGTCCAGTTGGTTCAAGATCAGGAATTCCTGTGGCCTTGCTGGGAATTCCTTCAGGGAACCTGACTTTTTGGCTCTAGATCAGCTGTTGGGGGCAGCGTCCTGGCTGGCTGTGCTGGATTCTTGACTTTGCCTCCTCACTCTGGCTGGCTCTGCCCCTGTGTCCTGGCCCTGGGTCACGGGAGGGGCCAGGAACTGAATGACACGGAGAACAAGAGGATTCCTCCTCCAGAAGCTGGGATTTCCCCTTGAGAACCTGAGCCTAGGGCCAGGACTTTGCACGTGACCAGGAGCAAGTCGCTTAAACCTCCTGTGCCTCGATTTCCCCCTTCTGCCAAGTGGGGCCAACGATTCTTGTTTGTTAGCACTCTTCCTAGCAAGTGCTGAATAAGGGCAAAACAGTACCCTTTCTCTATGTCTGTCTGTGTGCGTACACACTATACACAGTCATGTAATCACCACTTCTCAGTATCTTCAACTCCCGAGTCGGGTGGAATGGCGAGGGCTGGGTGAGCCAGCCTGGGAACTCTGGGGCAGACATGTCGGTCTTTGCTTAGCCACGGCCGCCTGGGCTACCAGAACCAACTGGCAGGCCTGTGTGGGCTTCAGCTGGGGTGCTGGGTACTGCACGCCCCCGCCCCCGCTGTCTTCTCAAACAGAATTGGTCTGGCCGCTCTGCCCTTGCTTCCTGAGCTTCTGGGTGGGCCAGGCTGGTTCCTGGCTGTGTGGAGATCCTGGTCTCCAGGAGGCCCTGGAGCCTGGGCAGGTGAGAATGGGACTAGAGGATGGGTTGGGGAGGTTGCTCTGTTGTGCCCTTCAGCCCACAGAGGACTCGAGTCCCTATTTGCAGATGGATGGGATCCCCCCATTCCATACCACCCTGGCCTGGGCTTTATTGCCCCTAGGGCTGAGCACAGGGTCAGGGGAATGGAGACCTGTTCTCAGAATAAATGTTACCACAATTCTAGCAAGGCCTTCCTGTGTCTCTCTGTCCCTGGGGGGGGGGCAATGAAGGGAATGTTTCCCAGGCCTGGGTGACTGTCCTCTGGTCAGAAAGCCATGTGAGGGAATTACTGCTGAGGCTGGACTCCGCTGCTGCCAGCCTGGTGGGACTGTGTCCTGACATCATTGGGATCATTCAGTTGTCCCTTCACCTGGCCCTGTCCCCAGGTGAAGCGCCATCCCAGGCACTGGGGGTGTGGTGAAGCAGCCACCAGGCCTGCTCTGGGGCAGCCTACAAGCCAATGGGGAAGACAAATAGAAATACCCTGATCCTGACAAAACGCCACGCAGAGAGCTGGTGGTAAGGCTGTGTGGGAGTTACCGGGTGTTTCCTGAGTGCTGGGTGAGGAAGTCCTCGCCCTCATCCCTTTCTCTGCATATCCTTTCCTCTGGGCCCAGGATGGTTTGCAGCAGGGCAGCTGCGTGAAAGGCGGCCCAAAAAGGAGATGGGCTTGTGAGGGCATGAGTGGATGTAAGGGAATCAGAGTGGAGGCTGTTGAGGGGGAGATGCGGGCAGCTTGAGCCAGGAAGCCAGGGTGGGTGGTGCGGAGAAATGGGATGATTTTGGAAGTAAAGTAAACAGAACTTGATGACTGGGTTGGAGGTGAGGAATAAGGGAAAAATAAATGAATCAAGACCAATGCTTTAGATTTCCCCACAAGACTGAGAGAGGACCTCAGCATAGCGCCTGGCCCCTGGCGGGTGCTGAGTACATTTCAGCATCTGGAGATAACTGCACACCATCCCCTGCCACTCCCTGCCCATCCCACCTGCTCAGACCTGCGTTCTGCCTGGGGCAGCACGTTCCTCTCCAGGTCTCAGTTTTCCCATCTGTGGAAGGTTAACACTACTTGCCTGCCCAGTCTGGGAGGCTCAGCAGGAGATGACTGGAGTACAAAGTGTCCTGCAGTGAATCCAGGAGTGGGGACAGTGTTCAGGAGCAACTCTTGCCATGGGCACCTGGCCAAGCAGATTCCAGCACCCAAGGGTGCTCAAGGGTCAGGACTCCGGTCAGAGGGCGCACCAGCCCCTGTAGAGGCTGAGTCCCAGCACTGTCATTTCTCACTCTCAGTTCCAGGCAGAGGCTGGATGTCATGTTCAGCCTTGCTCTCAAGGGGGCGCCATTGGACAGCTGCGCCTGTGGCCAGGAGGTGGCGCAGTTGGGCCGTGGGTCCCCACTGGTCAACCCCTATCCTTTGGGTGGCAGCCAGGTGGCCCCTTCCCTGTAGGCACATCCCGGTTTTGGAGACTCTGAAAGAGCGTTTCCCTCCGCCCCGGCCAGAGTGGCCCTGGAGAGGCCCACAGGGCTGGGGCAGCTGCCAGGTTCGCTGCAGGCAATGGGCTGTGACGTGCAAGGGCCAGGTCTCAGCAGGGAGTCCTCGATATCACTGTCTTCTATGATGCAAATAACAAATATTTTGTTTACTCGTCCTTGTTTACCCTCCTCCTCTACTTGAAAATCGCGTTTTCTACTTCAGTTTTCCTGTGTCTCTGGTACATGCAGGGTTGTTCCCAATCAGCTGGTTTGAGTTTCTTGGATGTTTAGAGATAACATGCATTCCCCATCCCCTCAACCCTGCTGTGCAACCCCCACCCCCGAACCCCGCCCAGAACAAGCTGGGGGCAGTGGTGAAGTGATGAACTCCGGGGGAACACATCTGAGGGGAGCCCTCAGGAAGGGGCCTGGGGCAAGGGCGTAATATGTTCAGGGATGGGGAGAAAGGGCCAGAATGCAGGGCTTGCTACTTGCTGCCCTGCCTTGCCTGGTCCTTTGCTCTCAGAGCCTCAAACAGCCATCTTGAGATGGAAACAGGCTTGGCAGAGGGCAGGCAGGGGCCGAGATTCAGCAAATCAGTGACCAAATCAGGATCAGGAGGTTTCCTGCTCAGGTGCTGCGAGAATAGGAGGTGTTACTACAAATGGCAGGAGGCGGCTGAGGGGTGGGCGGCCCCAGACCCGGATCTCACACAGGGCAGCAGCATGGCTGAGAAAGAACCCAGTGACCTTGCCTCCCTGCTGGGCGGCACAGAGCCCTGGGCAGCACAGCCCGCCTCCCATGCTGATGTCACGACACGCAGACCTTGGAGGGCCCTCTGACTCCGCCTCCTGGGGGAAGGCACTGGAGTGGGGAGGAGAGGGCAGCAGTGCCGGCCAGATATCTGCCCTAGGCAGAAAAGGAGGGCCTGAGAGAGTTACACAGTAACAAAAAGACCCAGAGAGACCCCCAGAGCAAGCCACGGAGCAAGACAGGAAGAGGAGAACTGTGTCTGCAGATTGTCTCAGACCTGCCACCCTAGCTTCCCGAGCCCTCCATGCAGGCAGCAGCTGTGGCCAGGCTGGTGGGCAGCTGAGAGTGGGCATCTGGGACCCAGGTAAGGATGGGCTGCCTACTGTCCTGGGCACTGGGAAAAGGGTTTGCTGGACTTCAGGGGAGTCAAGGGCTTGGGCCACCCTGGAGTGACTGCCCCCGCAGCCACTTGCTCCTGTCTAGGCCCCCTGCTGTCTCTGACCAGGGCTAGGGCGGAGGGGCGGACATGCTGTGGGTAGCAGAGAGAGTCCTCTGTCCTTGTCTCTTTATCTCCTTAGGCCTCTCTCAGACACTCTCCTTGGATAAGTCACTTCCTTCCTCCGGGCCTCAAATTAACCATCTGTGAAATTGCACTTTGAAGCCTCACTGGCTGAGGTTGTTGGAGGAACAAGGTAAAATCAGGCACAGGTGTAGAAATGTGGATAGAGTACTGTGATCCCTGTTGTCCATTTGAAAAGCAATTAACTTGAACATGGATTAGTTTTTATTTTTAGAATAAAAAATGTCTATCTTGTAGCATTTTCCTTACAGGTGGCCCTTAATTTCTGTGCCCCTGCCACCCCTTTCCACACCCCAAAGCCCTGAAGACCCTGGTTCTGCTCCTGGCTCTTGTGGTTCACACTGTACAGGAGGCCAGCACCAAAGCTGGGCATCCTCTCCAGATATAGCTCCCCATGGCAGCTGCCTGCTGGCCCTTGTCAAATTCCATTCCCAACCAGGCACCCAGCCTGGGTGCAGGTCTCAGAAAGGACTGTGTGCCTGCTGTATCTCGGAGCTCCAGGGCATGGGTCAGGGCTCAGGTGTCAGGCAGTGTCATGGGCAGAGGATCAAATGCCCCAGCGCCTTGAATGGACCTTGTGAAAAATTGATGCTCATCCTGGGAGGCAGGTAGGGGCCCAGAGGGGCCTCATGCCAGGGCCTGTGGGTTGGGGCTGCCTCTGATCAGCATACTCAGTCCTCCAAGTCCTTCCTGAGCCATCTCTGGGCCTGGCCCTGTGCTGTGTGAGGTGATGGCTGAGCCCTAACCCTTCCCTGTGTCTACTCTCCTACATTGTGGGCAGAGGTGGGGACAGATCCCAACCAGACAACAAATCCATATAGTCAAGGTTGGATAGAGGGAAACATCAGGGATCTTGGCAGCCTGGGGATGATCAGGGAAGGCTTCCTGGAGGAGGTACCATCTGAACTGAGCCACGAAGCAAAGGTGGGAATTTATTAGCCAGCATTCCAGGCAGAGGGGCCAGTGCATGCAAAGGCCAAGAGGTATGAAAAAGGCTGGCCCATTTCAGGAATAGTGAATGCTGAGGCTTGTAGGGCCCGAGGACAAGACTGGGACAGGAGGAAAGCAGAGAGAGGTAAGATGGAGACACATAGAGCTTGGCCTTAAATGCAAGACTGGGGGGATTAGAGCCTCCATCTTGAAGGCAGGGCCGCAGGGAAGGCTTTGGAAGGGTTTTAGGCAAGGCGCGCCATGAGCAGGTCCTGTTTAGTCTGATCCTCCTCTTGGGCCAGGCTGCCCCTTTCACCCACACTCCTGGGGCAGCCCTGAGCCCAGTGGCCAGGCACCACATCCTAGTTCTGAATTTGCCCTGCCCTGCTGTATGACCTTGGGCGAGTCTTGGTCCCTCTCTGGACCCCTTTGCCCACAGGTCCAGGGAAGGGTCTGTCTAGACTTTCTACTTTGGGAATCTCCGAATAACAGTGATGAGAAAAGAGCTCAGCTGCTCTGGGCAGTGGAGCTGGTGACAGCAGCAGAGGCTCAGGTCACACAGGCTGGGCTGTGGCCAGAGGGAGAGAAGCCAGGGAGGGTTCCCCAGAGGGAGGGGGAACTGCGGCTTTGGGAAGAGCCCAGGTGACCCCAGCCAGGCTCGATGCTTCCAGGGCTGGCCTGCTCAGAGGCTTGACATGCTCTCTCCCCCTACAGAACCGTGTCTGGCCAGGTGGGCAGCAGGAGCATTTGATAAAGGACAATGGTGATTCTTCAGCAGGTGAGTGCTCCCCGCACCCCAGTGGCCTTCATCTTTCTGTGCCAGGAATAACCCTGTTGGGTGGCTCGTCCTGTCCCATCTCATATTCTCTCATCCATATGCTTAACAGTAGGACACCCTCCCCAAACTTTTCTTCTAGAAAACTCCTATCTATTCTTCAAAACTCAGATGTGAAACTTTCCCTGACTCTCTCAGGCCTGGTCTAGAACTGTTTCCTCTGACTTGTCTGCTGGGGCCTCCCTTTCTCCCTGCTCTCATCTTACTGGTTAGAAATTATTTATTTACACACATCTCTGAATCCCCAGGTATTCCAGGTAGTGGAACAGCATGTGCAAAGGCCCAAATGGGGAAAGGGAAGAGGAAGTTGGCAAGTCTACTGAAGCCAGGCCAGAAAGGGCCTTGAGCCTGCCTGGGGGGCAGCGTGTATGGGATGACATGGCCAGAGCTGAAGCCCTCTAGGTAGTATGGTGAAGAAGCAGAGGTGTTGCCCCCTCCTGAATCCTTCGTCCGCACCCCCCACTTCCTTCGCAGGACCACATTGCCCCTGACCCTCAGCCCTTCCCCGTGATCCGCCTGAGGCTCTGATCTCCTGGTCTCCTGAGCCAGGAATGTGGGCCCTAAGCCAGGTCGGCCTGGCACCAGGCCCCAGGGCTGGTGGTGGAGGTGTGTGCTGCGGAGGCTTGGTCAGTGCCTTCCTGTCCTCCAGAACCGTCAGGGGCTACTGGGCAGCTGTCCTGCAGCTGCGTGTTTGTGTGTGAGTGTGAGCTGTTGATGAGTGGGCAGACTTTGGGCGCGTTCTTCAGCCCTCCTGAGCCCCAGATTCCTCACCTGTAAATTGAGGATAAAACCCCTCCTTTCCCACATGGTTGTAAAGATCAGATGCCACGAAGGCATCAGATGCTCAAAGTGCTGCTTCTTTCGCCTGCCTCCCGGGTCCGCCTCCCACCCCCCACCTCTTGCCTCTCTTTCCTTGTCCTGAAACACTGTCTGCCCAAGCGCCTTACCCCCCTTTCCCTGGCTGACTTCCCTGCTCTGCCCACATGAGACTCTGGTCACACTCCACCTTCTTCCCCTGTCGACCTGGGGCCTCCTGGTGTGCCTGGAAATGGTGGATGGCTTCATCCTGCTCCCCACTGCCTCCTCAGCCCCGCTCAGAGATGGGGCTCTGTGCTAAATGAATGATTGTGATTACACCCTCATTTGGTCCGAGGGGCTGGGGTGCGCAATGATACCTATCAAAGGGACTTTTGAGAGTAAAATGTCATAACACATGTAAAACTCAGCCCAATGCTAGACACAGCTTAGTAAAGATTAATTGCCATGAGGACGACTACTACTAAAATCATCAGTCGTGTTCCTGAGTAGGAGAATCTCCCATTCTTTTCTCTCTCACTTTATTTGAGATAAATATTTATTTGGAATAAGTTCCTTGAGGAGACCTCAAAGAATATGATGATTCTTTCCCCATGTGTACAGTGTCCCAATGTGGGACATACCAGTGACGGATACTCACCCAACCCTCCTTCCTCCCCTCCATTCATCCATCATCCCAGCCTTTTGAGCCCCCATGGAGTACAAGGCACAGGAAATGCCTTCGTAAAGATGGGCTAAGAATCCAAATCTCTTCACTCATGAAAAATTTTTATTCATTTGTTGAGGGTTTTAATTCTTCAAACATAGCATCCACATTGGTTCTACCGTGTGCCAGGCACTCTCTATACCTGATCTCATTTTATTGTCATAGGGCTATGAGGTAGGGATCTTTGTGTCCATACTGCAAGTGAAGAAGGTGAAGTCAGGTAGACATGAGCTAGGGCAGGTCCAGGCAGGATAGGGAGCCATGCTGGTGAGGTGGGCAGCACACGGGGAGAGGAGACCTTGTTAGGGGGCTGCTGTGCAGGGCACAGAGCAGGCACAGGGCTCAGGGGAGGAGAGGTCAGACTTCTGCCGGGTGGCATTTGCAAAACACGGGCTCTTTCTTAGGGACCCTGTGGTAGACTGGTGAGACTCATCATGTTAGTGGCTTTAGGGGTGGGGTGGGAGTGCCTGAAGGTTCCTAGTGTCCAGAAGCCACCTCCTCCAACCATGTTCTCACCCAGCAAAGTGGCACTCGGCCCCTTCTCTGTACCAGGCTGGGCACAAAGGATTCAGAGACAGACTGACTGCTTCTTGTCCTCTAGGACAAGACAAAATGGGGAGGCAGCTCTGAAACACAGTAAGGATGCCCACAAGTGGAACTGTGATAGCAGGCACCCGGGGGGTGGAGCAGAGTGGGAGGGAGTCTGGGGGTGGGGGAGGCTTCTGCCCTGCCTGCAGTTCCCCCGGGGGGTTGGGTGGTGGTGTCAGGGAAGGCTCTGAGGCCTTGTGGTGGCCCAGTGCGTACAGATGGTGGACTGTGGTCTCAGGAGGAGGGACTTGCCCCAGGTTGCTAGGCTAGCTGGTGCTTGTGAGAACCCAGAGATCTGTGGTGCACGTGACCCACTTCTTTAAGGACCTCAGGCAAGGCGGCTGTGCTTCAGTAAGATATGATTCCTGGCTCTGTGGTGAGGCCAGAGTAGGGACTGGATGTACTTTGCCCGGATTCATGGATCAGAGTGAAGTTTGAAGATAAATTTGTGGACTGTTGGTAACAGTTGGATTAACTCTTTAATGAAAATATAATGTTCTTCTTTGTCTGTTGTAACGGTTTTTGACTTAAAGTCCATTTTTGTCTGATACAGTGTAGCCACCCCAGCTCTTTTTTGGTTACTGTTTGCGTGGAATGTATTTTTGTCTTTTCACTTTCAACCTAATTGTGTCTTTGGATCTAAAATGACTCTCTTATAAATAGCATATAATTGGATCATGTGTTGTGTTTTTAAGCTATTCTGCAACCTCTACCTTTTAATTGGAGAGTTTAATCATTTCCATTTAAAAACTTCTGCCATCTTGCTATTTTTTTCTATATGTCATATCTTTTTTCCCCTTAATTCCTCTATGGCTGCCTTCTTTTGTGTTTAATTGATTCTTTCCCAGTGTACTATTTTGATTCCCTTCTCATTCCCAAATATACACATACATCTTTTTTTCTTAGTGGTCACCCTGGGGTTTACAATTAACATCTTACATTTATAACAATCTAGTGGGAGTTAATATCAACTTAACTTCAATACCTTGTAAAAATTCTGCTTTTATAGAACTCCATCCCTCTCCCTTTATAGTATTATAATGTGAGAAATTACATCTTTATACACTGTGTGTCCATTAACGTGATTTGTAATTGTTGTTTTATGCATTTGTCTTTTAAATCACATGGGAAAAAAAGGAGTTACAAACCCAAAATAACAATACTGCTGCCTTTTATATTTACCTATGTGTTTACCTTACTAAGGTTCTTTATTTCTTTGTGTGGCTTTGAGTTACTGTCTAGTGCCCTTTAATTTCAGCCTGAAGGATTACTTTTGGCATTTCCTGTAAAGCAGGTCTACTAGCTTGCAAACTCCTTCAGTTTTTGTTTATCTGGGAATGTCTTAGTTTCTCGTCCACTTTTGAAGGATGTTTTTGCCACATATAGAATGCTTGTTTGACATGTGTTTTTTGTTTGTTTTTTTCCTTTCAGCACTTTAAATATTATAACATTCTACTGCCTTCTGGCCTCAGTGGTTTCTGATGAGAAATCATCAATTAATAATGTTGAAGATCTTTTGTATATGATGAATCACTTCAGTCTTTGTCTTTGTCTTTTGATAGTTTGATTATAATGTTTCTCAGTGAAGATCTTTGTTATTGTTGTTGGGGGGGTAATTAGGCCTATTTACTTATTTTTAGAGATGATACTGGGGATTGAACCCAGGACCTTGGCATGCTAAGCATGCAGCTCTACCACTTGAGCTATACCCTCCCCACAGTGAGGATCTTTTTGAGTTTTTCCTACCTGGAATTTATTGAGCTTTTTGGTTGTGAAGATTCATATCTTTTATCAAGATGGGCACATTTTGGGTCATTATTTCTTCAGATATTCTTTCTGTCCCTCTCTTGCCTCTTCTTTTGGGATTTGCACTATGCATATGTTGGTCCATTTGATGGTGTCCCATAAGTTTCACAGGCTCTGCTCATTTTTCTTTTTCTTTTTTTCCTTTCTGCTCCTCAAACTGGATAATCTCGATTAATCTGTCTTCAGGTTTGCTGATTCTTCTTTTCTGCCTGTTCAAATCTGCTGTTGACCCCTCTAGGGAATTTTTCATATCAATTTTATACTTTTCAACTCCATAATTTCTATTTGGTCCCTTTTATGATTCCCGTCTCTTTATTCATATTTTCTACTTGGTGAAATGTTATTCTGGTTTCCTTCAGTTCTTTGAGCATATTTAAAACAGTTGATTAAAGCCTTTGTCTATTAAGTCCAATAGTCTGGGCTTCCTCAGGGAAAATTTTCATTAATTTTTTTCTTCCTGTGAATGGACCACACTTTCTTGTTTCTTTGCAAGTCTCATAATTATTTTGTTGAAAACTAGACTACTTTTAATTGAAGTACAGTTAATTTACAATGTAGTGTTAGTTTCAGGTGAACAGCAAAGTGATTCAGTTATATATAAACATATAACTTTATATATATGTATAAAGAATATATATATATATTCTTTTTCATATTCTTTTCCACTAAAGATTATTACAAGATATTGAATATAGTTTCCTGTGCTATGCAGTTGGTCCCTGTTGTTTCTCTGTTTTATATATGGCAGTGTGTATCTGTTAATCGCAAACTCCTAATTCATCCCTAGACATTTTAATTATTATAAAGTGACAACTCTGGAAGTCAGATTCTACCCCTCCCCAGGGTTTGTCGCTACTGCTTGCCGTGAACTGAAGTTTTGTTTAGTGACTTGTCTAAACGATTTTTGGGAAGACTGCGTTCTTTGTTGTGTGTGGTCACTGAAGTCTCTAACACACCTGGAACCAACAATCAAAACAAACAAAAAAACCTTCAATCTTTGCAGCTGGGCTGTATGTGTGTGTTGGGG